AACAATGATTTGCAGCTTAGCAGAATTGAAGGAGAGGACCAAATCGGTCTCTATTTCTAAGGTTACTGAAAAAGTTATTTGAATATGCAATATTTGTGCGCATCCTAATAAAAATAGGCAGGGCGAAGTAGGTAAGTGTTAAAAAGGCTTCGACTACATTAAAACTCGGACAAAAACAAAGGAAAAAACCCTAGAACTTTTCAAAAATCTCTGGAAAAACAGAAAGCATTTACTACAGACATTTACTGTAATATACTGACACTCAGCAGCCTGTTCTTAAAATAAGTATTCAGCACTTGCTTACTTTCATAATAGCAGTAATACATGGTGATTCCCTTGTGATACCAATCAGAACCAAGTTCATGATATGGCACTCTTCCGTAGTTATAAGATATGCTTTTGTAGTTGTGTGTGTGATACTTGATCCATTCAGTTGTTGCTACCATCCATTTGACTTGTTGACAGTCACGTGACCCATGAGGCAGTAGATAAAATGGTTTAGTTATCGGCAATGAGATTGGCTTCTTTTTGTTGCCACCTGTTTTACAGTAAAAATGGAATTTGATTTGATCAAATTTTTCCTTGCCCAATCACCTGGTATTGGTGTTCTCATTGATGCAAGGCGTGACTGATTGCAACCAAAAATATACCACACCTACAAATTGTGACGGATCACGAAGAAAGGTAACCAGTTTCCTGAAAACCTCTTAGGTCAATAAAACTCTTTGATATATACCAACTGTTAAAGTCCATTATTCTCATACTCAGATTGGGCGAAAGGGTATCGCGTGAATGTGAACAAGTTTCGATGTTTCCCCGCCAACGGCTCTCAGCGGGCAACAACATGTTGCGGTAATAACACTTGCCTCGTGTTCTTTGACACTTATTGACTGCAAGCTCGGGAAAGCAGTGTGTTTTGTGATTCCTCGATGGAGGTGCTTCCCTCGGCCTCGCCTCGTGAAGCATCGCCGTCTCGGGACCACAAAACACAATGTTTCCTTCTGTCTCAGTGAATAAGAGCTTTAAGAAATTGATCCTTATTTACATTATTCATTAGTGACCATCAGCAGAAATAATTAATCAATCAATTCCCAGGCTAAAATACATTATGCTAGTATTCATACCTTGTGGCCATTCTATCTTGGGTTTTTTTACATCGGTTCTTTTAACGCAAAAGTACCTAAAGACGAAGCTTGGGCCAACATTTCCTTCGATATTCAAGGTCTGTGAGCTGTCATTATTTTGATAATTATCATTTGTTTGTTGAAAGATATATCCTTTATCTGTCCACCCCATGTACTCGTACGACCAACTCCTGAATTTCAATTATATACCACGATTCCAATACCCAACGGGTATATACTCCCGATGGTATAGCACCTGCTAAGTAAGAAAACAAACGCTCTTGATATGGCTTATCAGAAGCATCATCTGCTTCCAACCGCAATCAAACGCGACCCAGAGCTTCAGAAATAAAAGAAAAAAATTCAGTCACCGTTTTCCATACATTGCTTCACTGGTCAAACACAAAGTGCTCAAGCGAGGCGCCAAGGTACTTTCAAAGGATTATTCAAATGTGAACCTTGCAACCTCGACTGAATGCTTTGTGAAACATATGGTTAAACTCATCACACGTAGATGAGCTTGGCGTTGGTGCTTGGGTGGGAGGAGCCTCGGGAACTCGGCGGAGGTCAGCGGTTACTATGGCAACCCTGTCACCTCCCACCTAGCACCGTCACACTGACTTGGCAGTGGAATACTTACCTATTTACCTTAGTGGAGGGTGGGTGGGAAAACAAATAGCGTTGGTGTAGCGTACAAACTGCGTAAGCTAGCGTTAGCGATATGAGATAGCGCATAGCGTTAGCGA